GCAACATCTAGGGAGTCTTTCACTTGGAAAATCAGAGAGTTCTTGGAAAGGAGACTCTACTGTTCTCTGGCTTAATTTTATTCGGTGACAGCATGATTTAGAAAGGCAATAGGGCTGCTACCTCTCTCTGAGTCTTAAAAAGTTCTGGTAAGCTTTACCTCCACAGTTGCCTAATCTGACACCTCAGCCAAGCTACCTAAGTACAGAGTTAGTGCCACAGGTTTTCAACCAGGTTACAGGGACTTCTTCCCCAGCATCAGTGCTGTGACGTGATGCTAAGCCTTCCTCATTCTCACCCTACTCATCAACCATTCATTGTCATCTAAATTCTCAGAAATGTCCAGAAGATTTCTACATGTGTAGATAGGACAGAGAAGTCCTTCTATCAAATGATCTTCGTAAAGAGATGGCCTTCAAAAGCCACTGACAATCAAGTGAGACACATGTGGTGACAATAATGGATGGTATTTTATGCAAAAAAACCACACCAAAACTGTCAATGATCTTCAGTGAGAGTTTAGCATTTCCTAATAAAATGTGTTGAGTCCTGTGTGTGAACTAATCACAGAACTTGGATTTCCTCTTTGAATAAGGCAAAATGGTTTGTCTCAGAGGGGCAAGTACTTTGCAGCCTGCAGACGTGGGTTCTAGTCTTGCTACCTACTAGCTGTGAGACTTGAGCCTTAATTTAATTTCCCTCAAAAATAGGCATAAGTGATAGTTCTCAATGTTGTTACAAAATTTGAGATGTGGCCTTATAAAATAGATGGAACTCGATCCATGGTATTCATCATTCAAAGACATTTATGAAGCATCTTCTACGGGCCAGCCCTGGGCTGAGAATGTCCAGATGGATAAGCCTACTCCTTGCTCTGTAAGACCACATGACTTATTAGGAAAAATAGGCATGTAAATAAATGGTGGTAATTCTCAGGCCTGGGTGCTACTATGCATGTGTGGAAAAGATGGGATGAGACACAAAGCGGTGTGTCAGCTGTGCTGGGGAGGTGAGGAGGCATACCATAGAATGCTTCACAGAAGAGATGTTTGACAGTCTAGAAAAATGATAGATACAAGGAGGGTGATGGCCATTTGTAGCTAGATTTTTTTTTTTTTTTTAAGACAAAAAACCTTCCAAGCACTTAGCTCTCCAATGTTGCAAGATTTAAGTGTTAGCTGTGCTTTCCTCCCTTGGTTCTTTCCACTGCAGTTCTCAGAATTCCATATGACTGGCCTCTCTGCCTAAGCAGGTGAAAGAGCCAGACGGTGGTCACTTATAGTTTCTTAGTCATTGTAGAACTAACAGTGCACTGTCTATGTAGGCAATAATATGGAAAGGATGGAACCTTCCAAGGGGAAGATATTTGGTGTTTTTTAGAATAGTAGTTATTATCATCATCAGGTACCTCCTAATACCCAATGCAACGATTCCCCTTGCAAGTATGGCTTGAATGTTACTGTCAGGGAACAACAAAAATTCCCTTGCGTCTGTAGGTCTTGACCTTCAGATAATTTGCCATATTTATCTTAGTGGAGTAAAAGAGTAATTACATATTATAAAAGGCTGTATTTGTTCCAAATTTACATGCTAGGAGAAACTGGCTGACTTTGCATGTATAATATAAAAGGAGTCAAATTCTGTGAGCACTTTATGGAAACTTTTGCATTTAATTTGTGTCACTAAAACTTTAAGAGGGACATTATTGGAATAATTTAGGACAGAATAATAAAGTGGTTTAAGGTAGTGATAAGTAAAATGAGATTACTGAATATTTCTTTGTTTTAATTATGTGGGCCAGGCTAATGGTGAGGAAGCTACCAGGGATTCCAGTTACTCATTAATCTTGGTTAGTAAGCATCATTGATCTTTACCCAAGAAGAACTGTGGGTACTTTCTAGACCAGTGGAAGATAAATAGTAAAGGAAAGGATTAAACAGTTTAAACAAAGGAAATACAATTAGCAAATTAGCATATACAAAAAAGGATCATTCTCACTAATGAACAAAGCAATACACATAAATCTGAAGCACCTGTTAAATTACCAAATTTTTAAAAATTATACTGTCAGTGCTTGTAGAATTGTGGTGAAACTGGTATATATGTATATATATATATGTATACATATTTAAAGGCAATAAAATGGTACAAAGCTACTGAAAAGTAATAATATAAATTAAGAACCTAATAAATGTTTACATTTAAGGAAATACATTCAAGGAAATTGTCAAATAAGAAAAAGTAATTGATATCAATATATTCATTGCAGCATTGTTTATAATATTAAAATAATAGAAATAACCCAAATATACAAATATAAAAGCATGGTTAAATAAGTTATATCTTCAGAGGAAGTAACATTATATAACACCAAAATAATAATTATGGAGACCTTATCAGAAATGCTTAAATTATAATCTAAGAGAAAAAATGCAGGACATAAAGTTATATATGTTCTCTCTCTATATAAAACTATGTGAAACACATGTGGACGTACACAGTCAGTAGCATAGAATGAAAAGTGCACACACTTGGCAACGAGACAGGCTTCAGTTTTAATCCTGGCTCCATATTTGCAAGCAGTTGATTTCTGCTAAGTTATTTAAGTTCCATGTGTTTTGTTTTCTTATATATAAAATGGGGATACTCATACCTACCTTACAGGACAGCTACAAGAATTAAATTAGATAATTCTGTAAAGTCTGAGACAAAGTAATGGAATTATAGGTGAATTTTGTTTTACTTTTTCTTATTTTGACTTCTATTACTTTTATAATGTTTTTGCAACAGAAAATATATTTGAATTTAATATCTAGCACCAAAGTTATATCCAGAAATATATGCCTTGTGGGGTTGACTATATGGCTAACTGAAATGATCTAAATAATTATTTTTATTTAGTACCAAACATCTCAAACTCCACACTCTGCTATATCATATTATTTTATTTATTTAACACACACTTATGTAGCTTTTATCATGTAACAGATACTGTTCTAAACACTGTGTTCCTTGAATCCTTACAACAACCCCATGAGGCAGGTAGTATTATATCCCAGTCTTACAGATGAGAAACTGACATACGGAGAGCTTTAAGTAATTTGCACAAGGTCACATTGGTATATGTGGTGGAGCTGGGATTGAACTCAGGCAATCTGGCTATGGGCTGGCTCCTGAATGCTATGCTGCTTTTCAACTGGTCGATCCAAACATGTTCAATGAACACATGTGGTGCTTGGCACCGTGAAGGATGCCAGGAAACAAAGGACACAATCCTTAACTCGAAGATCATTCTCTAGGCTTTAGCTACAGTCCTCAAACTCTGCTCCCTCAACCTCAGATAAATGTCACCTATGTCACAACTAAATGCTATTCATGGGGAGACACTTCTTATCACCCAATAATAACCAAGGTTCTGAATGAAAATCTGCAGCGTGCAGAGTGGCCGTCTGTGGCAATGTCAGTGTTTTCAGAGAACGTGCTGAGAAATCACAGGGCTGCGTGAAGGTGCCTAATAGTCTGCAAACATTGGACTTGGGTTTCTCCTTACACGTATATTTGTACATACACGCCTTCATCTGCTACATGTATATGTAACTAATATTGTAACTGAAATATTAAACTAACGCTACAAACTAAAATTACGCTTTGAAATATGTTTTATTGTACATTTTATTGTACATTACTTTTTGCTGCTGGATTGTCATGTGCTTATCTCAGATGAAACGGTCGCCCTCTATCTTTTTCTAATTGAAGAGTCTTCTGAGATTGTAAGGCAAATTCTTATAAATCCGAAAACTTATTACCATTTGGGAGGTAATACAGTATGATGGTTAAGAATAATGGCTCTAGAGTCAGACAGTTTAGATGCAAAGGAAGAGAGAGAGCAAAGTATTACCTTGTCCCAGACTTTACAGAACTATCTAATTTCATTCTTGCAGCTGTCTTATAAAGTAGGCATGAATATCCCCATTTTATATATAAGAAAACAAAACACAGAGAACTTAAATAACTGGTCAGAAATCAACAGCTTGCAAATACAGAGCCAGAATTAAAACTAAAGCCTGTCTTGTTGCCGAGCATATGTACTTTCCACTCTGCACTAGTCTCTGTGTCCACATGTGTTACATATGGTTTTATATACGCACAGAACATATATGACTGCATATCCTGAATTTTTCCCTTACATTTCAAGCACAGGTATTTACCACATGACTTCAAGAAAGTTTCTAAACCTCCCTGTACCTTAATTTCCTCATCTGTTAAATGGGACAGTACTTAGCTCATAGGGTTATGAGAAATAAAAGATATAAACTTATAAACTTAGAAAAGTGGCTCAGGCAACATAAGTACTCAATGAATGTTAGGTATTATAATTTTTAGTGCAACTACTTCTCTATAAAATCAGTTTTATCTTACCATACAACCAAAACAAAATATGCAATTACATTAAATTCTAAGGTTGACATGCAACTAGAAGTCCCATTATTCAAGTTTTTGTTTTCATCCAATAACAGAATTATTATTGATTCATTTTACAAGTATCTGTTGCAAATTTAAACTAATGAATAAATTTATACAAACAAATGCTACTGCAATTTGCAAATTTGTGCTTTTAAGAATTTTGTTAGAAAAGGTGTTCTGCATTAAAAGAAAAATGCATCATAATGAAATTTATGTTTTTATGCTCTATGTTGTCTTATTCCAAGGGGAAAAAATTTCCCTTTTCAAAATATGTTTGTTTTTTTCGCGTCTACCTGTCATTTAAAGCTTACTCTTGAATAATACATGTTGAAATCAAATTATAAGGAACTATTAAGCCCCTATCTGGCAGAGTACTGTATTTTGATGAATTATTCTACTTATGACCCAAGAGCAGTAATTTAATCTCTACTGTATTTCTTTCAAGATTCGTTCTTTTCTTGACAGTAGGACTGATTAGAATGTGCGAAGACATTTGAAATAAACGGTCTGTTTTTGTTTTTTCTGTCTTTTCTTGCAGTCATTCCCAACACAGCACTGCAACCCGCCAGCCTTCAGTGACTCTCCAGCGGGCCATCTCCCTGGAAGGGTAAGAAGAAGAATACGGAGGCTTCTCTTAAACTAACCTGTGTAGCCTCATCACTTTGAGCACTGAGAAATTCCTCCTGTCTTTTCTTCTCTCCCTCCTTCCCTCCCTTCTTCCTTCCTCCTTTCCTTCCTTCCTTCCATTCTTTCTCTCAGCAAATATCTATGAAGCTTATGTTATGTGCAAAGCACCACGCTACTACTAGATTTAACAAATCAAATAAGATCTCTTCTTACCCTTCAGAGGGCTCATTGTCTAGTGGGAGTGACAGAAATACAAACACACATTTGTATAGAGTGTAAGCATCACAAAGGAGATCCATATAAGGGTTAATGGATGACCTATAAAGGGTATCTAGCTAAGAATGGCATTAGAGAGGGAGAGGGGAATAGGTCAGGATGGTTTCACAAAAGATATAACTCTTGAGCTGAGAATTGAAGCATCTGTGGATATTTGCTTGATAGACTTTGGAAGGAAGGGTACACTGAGCAGAAGAAAGAGCATGTGCATAAGTATGAGCACATGGGAAAGTATGATGTGTCAAAGGCTACTGAGCGACTCGGCGCTGTGGCATAGGGTGTGTGAGGTGGTGGGACAGGAGATGAGAATGGCAATGTTGGCTGGGCGGGCTTACATGTAGCGAACTTACTATTTTGTATTTCTAAATTCCCCAATCAGATAAAAGCTGGAGGGGCTGGGGGGAAGGAACCAATATTTCCCTCCACTTGCCTTATAATTGCAGCTGGTTTAATTAACATTTAAATGATTGATGTATAAAAATTAAATCATTTTATTTTCCCAATATTTGTTACAAACTGTGCTTTGTTCAACCCTATTTTCCAATGACAAGTAGGCTTCTTTAATGGCATTTCAATTCAAATCTCTAACTTTATTATTTATTAGCCCTTTACATTTTAAAATCTTATGTTTTATTTAGACCTCAAGCCCTCCTTCCAACATAACTAAGACTTGGGTTCCACCAAAGTATCCTGGAGTTGATAGAGTTGTGGTCTGCTCTCTCTCTCATACCACCCTCTAGATCTTCCTTTCTTTTAGATTTCTTCTCCGGTAGTGTTGGGGCAAAAAAACAAACAAAAAAAAAACGGAAACGGGAAATGGCATTTCCTCACCATTCTGCTGGGGCTGTCCCCTTTGTGTAGTTTCTCTCTGGTCATGTAGCCTATGTTAACTGAAAAGAGCAACTTTATAAAGCAAAGATAAATTTTAAAGAAAAGAAAAGCTTTATTAAAAGGTTTGCAAACCAGGGAAGTACACCTCAACCCACAAGTTGATAGGTGAGCCCCCCTCGGTCTTGGGGTAGCTGTTTTTTAAAGGCAAAAAGTACAGTGTGTGCAAGGTTAAGGTTGAGTTCAGTTCCAATTGTCGCCCTTTCCAGCTACAGTGTATTTTCTGCCCTGGGCTTTCTAAATGTTCCAACTGCAGGGAAAGACTACTGCCTTGTTCTCCAGCCACCTAGTGACAGTCAGGGTTAAAATGCAGTTTTTTATTTCTGCCATAGTTCAGCCTGAGGGAGTTGTGGTAACCGTCATGATGACTCTGGCCTCATTGTTATCTCTTTCTTTTATCACCCAGATGGGTGGAGAATCAAACACGCACCAATGCGGAGATTCAATCAGCTTCTCTGGCCAAGTGGTCCCCTGGGAAACTCAGTTATCTCTTCCACAAGACCCCTAGAAGCAGCACAGTGTAGCCTGCTCGTGCACTCACCACTCTGTCCGAGCTGCAGCAATCCCTCACTGGCCCGTAGTCCCCATTTCTCATGTTCCTCAGCACCTTCAAATATGAGGCTTGGGCAGGCGTGAGCAGCATCCATCTTTTCTATCCCTCAGGTGCGACTTACCAGGAGTAGTCCTGACCTCCTCTCTCCCTGACTGACCTTGTCATCTCCTCTCCCCAGGGTTCTTTTCCAACCTCTGTAGCAGCAGGGCAGGTCAGCAAACTCCATGGCTGGGTGGTCATTCACCTGGGAGGGAGATGTTAGTCTTTCCTTCCTGGAACATAATACATTTTATAAACACTTTTCATAGAATAGCCCTTCTTGCCTTCAGCTAAGGAAACCCATTGAATGTCCCCAAACCCATGGGAAGGTGAGTGAAGGGAATGTGGCCTCTCCGTGAGCACTGCACCCAGTGTTCCTTCTCGCAGCCTTCCTCTTCTGTCTTTTGATGGTAAACAACATCATACCACTTTAGTTCCCCTAGCAAACAAGAAAACAAAAAACGAAACAAAAAATGCTCAGAGACACAAGAGTGGTAGGCTAAATATGAACTTAATTCTGGAGAATTAAGTCACATTTTTCTCAACAGAACACTGTCTCCACTGGAACATTTGTTCTATTGCATTAAAAAAAAAAGGACACAATAAGTTCTCAATCGATCCTCACAGCATTTGGTTCTGTAATAATACATAAGGTGGTCCAGGTCATGGATCGTAGCTAGACTCCTTGCTCTTAAATCCAAGCTCAGGAACTTACTTTCTGTGACAGTAGGTTACTTGGTGCCTCAGTTTCTTCATTTGTAAAATGAAGCTACTAATAGTATTTCCTTACAGGGTTTTCTCAAGAATTCAAATTATATACATTATTTTTTAGAATAGTACTGGCATTATATATGTGTTTGCTGTGTAGTTTGCTGCTGCTGTCGTTATACGTAATATATACTTATCAGGCAGGAGAGTTTCTTGTTTATATTGAATAAGGATTTGTTAAAACAGTCAAGAACTGGTGTCTTTGCTATACTGGAGAGGCATACTTCTATATACACAGGTATAATCATTTGTGGAAGCGATCTAAATAATTATTTGACTCTGTTTCATTCTTAGTTAATATTTATATTAAAAATATTTTAATTACTAAGATTATACTTCAATGCTTATTAAACACAGTAAAGAATAACCTAAGTCTTTTCTATATATCGGTTTATCCTCAGCTCCAAAAGAAAGAATTTAGGATGAGAATAAGAAATGCTCTTACATTTCTGGTATGCGTGTCTTAGAAAGTTTAAGACAAAGGGACCACTTGAACACACAAGAGGAAATCATCTCCCCAGCCTGTGAACTTTTCTCCAGTTGGACTTGAGCGTGTTCACCGACAGCAACTGCAGTACAAGTCTGTGCAGACTTGTGTCTGCACCCTCCATCCCACCCCCTCAATTTCCTCTTTTTGGAAAGTGCCATAGTTTAGAAAAACTCTTCCACAGAACTCAGTTGCTGGCCACATGCTCCAAAGGTCTGTGATCAGTTTTGAATGCTGCACTTTAAATAGGATATGTAGAAAGAACCAAGGAAAGGACATCCAGAGTTAACAAAGGGATGGAACAGCGTTCTATCAAGAAAATACTGACAGGGTTGGGATTCTATGGTTTGAAGAAGGGAGCTTCCTCAGGTGCTTAATGAGATTATATTCAAAATATGCAACTCGTTGGGAATAAAAAAGTACAAATTCGTGGATATTCCCCCAAAGGAAGATAAAAGAACTAACAGTTATTGAGTGCCTATTAGGTACAAGGCTATCTCTATCTATCTATCTACCTACCTACCTACCTACCTATTTATCTGTCTATCTCTATATTCATCTACCTATCTCCTATGTGATTTTATTTCCCAAATAGTCTGATCAAATAGGCATCTTTTTTTCTAAACTTTGATTCTCAGAGAGGATAAGTAATTTTCCCAAGGATACTTACCTAGAACGTAGCACAGCCTGGGTTTGAAATCAAATTTGACTCCACTGTAAAACTCCATCCCGTATAATGTGGTATGAAAAGGCTTTATTGAGCCAAAGAGCACTAGTCACACCGTTCATAAACCACATTCAGGTTGAGTTAGACATAGTGAAGAATTTCTTAGAGTAAACAATGTTAAAGAACTAGAACTGACTCTAATCCTAGAAATCCTTAAACAGAGTTAATAACCTGCTGTTTGGGATGGCTCCAGAGGTCTCCGTGCATGCTAAGTGGCGGAGGGGTTGTTTGTGGTAGAGGTGAGGGTGTAGGGGCTGAGTTTACCAGTTGTCTTTACGTCCCCTTCCTGCTTCATTGTGAGGCCCTCCCTTGGCAAGGGGCACTGTGGCTGTCACTCCACATTTTGGTCATTAATACAAAAAAGACTTCCTTCAGCACTGCTAACTAATAGCATGTCCTTCAAAAGCTGTTTCCAAACCTTTTCTTTCTTCTTATTAACAAAATCTTATTGGCACTGTTTCCCACTTGAGTGAAATGAACTGTGATAAACGCAATCACTAGTTCTATTTCTGTAATAAGATGAAGCCAAAAATGTGAGGGCTTTACCCTGACTTCCTAACACAAGAATGACTCCTTTTCTAAAAAACAAAAAATGATATTTTCTCAGGTATGTTCCACTGTTCCAACCAGTATAAAGCAGTTTGCTTCATATCTAGTGAATAATGCACTATGGAAAATATTCTGTTTTCTGCAATTGTGGAAGAAGACTGACTCTGGAGTCAAAGAATTGGTTTTGAATCCTGATCTCTGCCATCTGTTGTTGTTGATCTTAAACAGACCCTTCACCTCTCTAAGTATGGATTTTCTCATCAGCCAAAGAGGAGGATAGCATAAGACTCGCCAACTTTTTACAAAAGTAGCAGGTGCCTATTAGATTCTTGGTACAAGTCAAATATATACTTAGTCCAATCTTTCTGAGAAAACAAACAAAACTTTTATAGCATAGATTAATTTGAAAACCCACTTTGAACACTTGCTCTTGAATACATATATATGTATTTATTCATGTAAAACATTTCCGGACATAAAATAAAATACTTGAGGTAAAAATAATTTTACATTGCCAGAATATTTAGAAGGGGATACTTCAGTAATTCTCTACAAAGCCCAGAACACTAAAGTTTATATTATACATGCCCAATAGACCGATAATGCGGCGTACAATCATTGTCACTAAATGCATAGTGGGAAAGTTATTTTTCAATTTGCATAGGCCAATGGGTCTTTGGCAGGTTTCTCATT